AACCCTAACCTAACCTATTTTTAAAGTCATGTGTACCGATAACCCACGAGTACCGAATTTTTTAATGCTTATTTTTGTCTCTTACAGTGAAATCATGAGCAGTAGCAGCTTAAGTAGTTCAGAGAGTGACACTGGGATATATACAAATGACGAAGGACGAGAAGGTAAGACCACGCATCTTTAATGCTCAGCAAGAAGGGCTCTAGCTGCGTAAAGAAACTGTGCAGTTCCATGTATAGCGACTATAATTTAAGCATTAATGTTATTAAGAGTAGACTTTAATGAATTTTCTTTAGTATAGGTGTTTGTATTTAAATGACACCAGTTCCCGCACATTTCATTGACCCCGGAAAACCCCGATATCATTGGTTCTGCTCGTAAAGGTCAAATTCTGGTGAACATGTCGGAATTCTTACACTGCGTTTACATTTCCAGACTTTTTTTTTATAACTCTTCCTTACATCTGTGCTGCACCTTTACTTTTGCTTCATCTTGATGCAGGCGATGACGAACAAAGTGACTGGTGGGGTGGAGATGCAGGGTCAGTGTGTGGCAAAGGCCTCTGGGACGAAGACGAGGGGGACCAGACTTCAGGGAATTCGCAAGGGGGTGCCGACAAGGTAACAGATGCAGATGAGGATAGTGACCCTGCTTTCCACGCAATTCTTACCGGAAGTTTTGAGCACCTTTCCGAAGAGGCAAAGCAAGCTTATCGTGTTCACATGCAGTGGATCAGAGAAGGGCTGGTGAGTTACAGAATTATCGTAGATTTGCAAGCCTCGTGAATGACGGTGTTTATTGTGTCGTAGCTTGTACTCATATGAGACACGCACATTAACTCGTATAACTTTATATTATATGCCGCGAAAGCTTCAATTCCTGATTGTATGCCAAGAATGTTATATCAAACTTGGTCATGACTACTTTTTTCTCAGTTCCTTATCTACTCTGTGATATTTTTCCTGCCATTTCTCATTTATCTTTCAAATTTGAAAGAGATAGGTATAGCATCTATCTTACGATAGGTAGTCGCTGTAGTAAATGCGTTTGGCAGTAAACATAAGAAGGAAAACTAATTTACGCCGCTGTGCACTTCTCAGAATGGACGAGAGATTCGAGCGGGTAGAAGACGGATACGTGGCGAGAGACCGGGGTTTAGCATCGTCACATCAGCAAATGAGAAGTTGTCTCGTTTCCTTCAAGATCCCGGTCAGTCCGAGCTGAGGTAATAACGCCAGGTCTATTTTAATTTACCTTTTTTTTATTACGAATTAAAAAATTACTGTTAGCAATTTCCACTGAGGCTATCTTTACTTGAGCCACAAACATATTTGTTCTGATACGTAACAAATATGAATAATTAATGTTAATTTGCAAATACATATGTACAGGTGTCTGTAAAATATGGATTGACGGTGCTGTTCAATGTAGCATTTTTAAAATTCTATAGGATGACAGATTTTTTAAAAATATAAAACTTTTATAAAGATATCAGATTTGATGTTTTAACAGTAATGAAGATGTCAGTTGTGGTATTCTGGGTCGTAAAACCGCGTAGTCGTGTTTTTCCGACATATTGGAAGAATATACAGTCTTCGTATTCATTGCCGAGGTCATTTCAAACCAAGATCTTTATGACACTGAATTATTTTGATCTGTTGTTGAATCATTGAAACTTAATAGGTAATTTGAATGATATTTTATTTGTATCTTGTGCTGATACTAAATTTTTAAGATGTGATCTTGCAGAGCGCTGAATATACTATGGCAATACAGTGAAACCTCTATCAATCGTTCCCGGAACTATCGTTTTCCCGGATGCATCGTCCGTTTTGTTCGGTCCCGAATACATCCCATATAAAATAATGTTACATTTTCCCGCTTCTATCGTTCCTCGAACTATCGTTTTATCGCATCAAAAATCTTAGTCCCGGCCCACAATTTTCCCGCAATGATCGTTCCTGAGAATTTAAAATGCTGGGTTTAGAGATAAATTAATACCGAAAGACGCACAATGTTTTTGGAATAAACAGTAGCGGTAACCTGTTATGTCGCCCAACCAGCACATTCTTTTGGAATGAGGGTCAGCGGTGCAGGGGTGATAGTCAGGGTCTTCTACAGCTACGTTTCGTTGAGTTCGGCAGTAATAGTATTTCCATTCTTCCTGTTATTGTCCGCAAAGGGGGTTGGAGTGGTGAGGAAGAGGGAGACGACGAATGCGAGCCCGAAGCTTTGCCGAGTTTTGCCGAAGCGCACGCTGCATTGGCGAAAGTGAAGTTGTTCTTTTATGCGCTTAATATTAGTGAACGTGACGAGGAAAACATTTTGAACGTGGAAAGTGCTCTGTTTGGTCTAAAACGTAAAGTTTCGACAAACCAGTTGTCCATTAAAGACTTTTTTGGTAAAAAGAAGTAACTTTGAAAGAGAAACATTGTTTTTTTTAAATTTTTAATGCTTTCCCGCATCTATCGTTTTCCCGCATTCATCGTTTTTATTTCCCACCCCCGCCGAAAACGATGCATCGAGGTTTCACTGTAGTGCTTTTAATACTTGTTATACTCCGCTTTACATCGTTTCTTTCGTATAGAAGTGCCTTTATTTTCAATTTTTGTACACAGGCTTCACCCAATGCAGAAACAGGAACTAGATCAGCTATGCCACTTAGCAAACCTTTACTCTCTCCAAATGACAAGTGACCCAAACCGCCGGACCTGCGCTGTTCTTACCAAAACCAGGTACAGTAAAACCTGTATTTTACATTTTCTTAAGGGTCCAATTACAGTAGGTATAAAATCCAAGTAATTCTTTATATGACCTCTGCAGAGAAGCTGGCGTATTCCCCTATATCAGAGACGCAGAAATTGACGTAAATGCCGAGAGGCTTCTTAAATTTGTAATAGAGTGTTGTTTGATTGTATTTTCCTTTTAACTTCTACAGTACATAGGTCCTTGTTGGGGGTTGTGACTGCATCATCACCATCATCATTATCTGCATTATACATGAGAACTTCCTGTTCCTTCAGTATTCATTTAAAAGTTTTTTCACGGAAATTGACATTGATCAGATATTCAGTGAGAGACGTATAACAGAATATTCAGGCCATCATATAAGGTGGTATTTTTTATATAATTAAGTAACTCTATGGAACAAGAATTCCTTTATGAGAAGCCGAGAAGCATTTATATGTTCAGGAAATTTCCTACCTTATGCAGATTTGAAAGGCTCATTAATGCGTTCATAAAGACTGCCAAGTCTTGTCTTTCTTAGAAATATTCCTACAACACTATAACGAGGCTGCAGAAAAAAGTCCCAGCCGACAAGTCTTGGCACTAGCAAAGATTGTTACGACCAACACTTATGCAGACAGGGTGGCCAGGTGGTTGGAGGGAAATGTAACAACTTTATGCAGATGTGTGGGCAAATCTATGGAATATTTTCCCACAGCCTCAGGAGAGTCAGGTAGTCGTACCGTCATCATCATCACCACCAGATTGATTCGTCTGGTATGTTTTATGGACTTTTGTATGCACCGATCTGGTTCGGTGGTTTTTAAACTATTATGTTAACACAACTTCCATGTATTAGTATCTTGTTTAACTGTGAATCGGTGTTCCCTACTGGATGTGATGGCAGGAACACGATGCAGGCTGTCCGTGTGGACCAAGTTCGTCTCACAAGGCTACAAGCTCGACTTCATCATCTCAGTGACTTCAAGAGAAGGCGGAAGATGCCTCCTGGCACCGGAGCCTCAAACATGTCATCACATCCTCCTCTAGGTAAGTTTTGTTTGCACGTGAACTAGTATAACACCTGTCTTCAGGGTTGTAGTGCCATGTTTATTGGTGTGTGAGGAGCTTGCTGCCTCGATTATCAGGGCAGTCGCTCTGATGATGGCAGTAAACTTCTACCAGGCAACATAACAACCCAGAAGACAGGCATCTACATACTTGTTGCCATGGGAACCTGAAATTTTACATGTTGAATATTGTCAGTGTTTTAATTTTAGTGTAAACTATCGGTTTCTTCTTCTTCTTCTTCTATGGCTCTCCGGTCCGTATTTGGTCCATGGCCTCCTCATTTCACCACTTCCATTCGGTCCTCTGTTAGGTCCGTCTGTCGGAGGCTTTGATCGAGGTTTCAAAACATCTTCCTTTTTACGGCGCAAGATTGTTAGCCTTGCCACCAACCCCCAACCTGGAGGACCAGGGTACCTGTCTTAGTCTGACCTCTCCCCCTTGACCAATCTGGCTAGGGAGGCCCTACCAGTAGCTATGCTACCGCCAGCATAGCTCTTGGGGTCACCAAGGTACTCGAGCCCCACCACCACAAGGTGCAGGTACCATTAAGTTTAGTAGTATAAAATTAAGCGGTCACCTGAAGGTAGGAGTGCGGCCAGGTACAAAACTTTAATGCGTCAGATATATCTCAAGCAATGTAGTGTTCAACATAATTTTGTTGACCAAAACCATTCAGGTGCACAAATATTTCGATTTAGCAAAATTAATAAAAATATTAACGATTTCTTAACGTGATCAGATTAGGAAAAGGCAGTCTGTGGAAGAATAGCATCTTCCCATTTATGGTGTTCAAAATTATCAATGATCTATAACTTTAATGAATCATTTTCACCCTTCTCTGTGCTCTGCAGTTAGTTGAAAGCTATTAACATTCCCAGAAATTTTGTGACTCTGCAATTTATTGTTTCCTGTAGACGTAGGGAGTTCCGCACTGCCAATTCCTGAGACTAACCTCGGGAATCAGATGCTCCGTGGGATGGGCTGGGAGCCTGGTACTGGGCTCGGTGCACAAAGTAATGGCATCCAGGAGCCAATTGTAGCAGCAGTCCGCCCAAAATATGTTGGTCTCGGCCACAATCCAAACTACAAATCAAGTTGAAAAGTTGATTGGTGATATTGGTGTATATGACTTAATTCATAAATGTTGAAAAAGCTAAAAAATTAGCTTTAAAGGATAAATTGAAAATGTTTTATAGGCAGATAAGAATGGCACTAAATGTAATCATGTCATATGTAGAAAGTTAGATTCCGTTCTCTCGCTGTCTCCTCTCCCTCCCTGTAATGAGACTGTTTTGCTCAAAGGACTTTTGTATTCATATTAATTTAGATATTGGTTTTAAATTCTGATTTAAATGTAATACGGAAAATGAAATTTTTGAAGACAATCTCGTCAGTTGTTTATATTAAGCTGCTGTCAGACTGAAATATTCTCTGATGATTTTGTTGGATACAATATATTATTATACTATCTCATATCATGGAACAGAGTGTTTCGTGATCAGCTTTTAGTCAGTCAGCTAGTAAAGAAATTCCCTGCCTTTTATGTTACCAAAAAGTTCATTACTATGTCCACAAGGGCCCATCATTTTACTTTTAATTACTCGTAATGTTTTTTCCCTCCTCATAGTGAAAGAACATCCTTTATCTGAAGCTTACTGCTGTCCGTAGGTGCCCTGTAGCGGCTTGGGCACTCATTGAACGATTTCAACGAGTGCTGAGCACCTCCTCAACTTCCCATCCGTACAGTTGAATTTTTAAACCATTTCCCCATAATTATTTTTGAATCGTCATACGTAGGTACTCATTTGAGCCTGGAAAATATTTTGTTGATTGTATAAAGCGTGCCATAATGTTTGTTGTCTCCACGCTTTTGATGGGCAGTGGAGCCAGTTGAGTTGCATGTGGTCAGTTTTGTTTCGGCTAAGGAGATTCTTCATTCTGTTGTTTGTTTGTTTTTCTTTCTTTCCCCGATGGCCCTTTGTTAGCTGCATTTTGATTCCTTTGAGATTGTCTCCTGGGGGAGTTTATAATGCGAAACTGAGCACCTTCTGAAATTTTGGAGTCAGTGCCCGAGCTACAGTCAGCATGTCAGCAAAAGAATGTGATGATAAATTTTGGAAACAGTAAGCACAGGTCTGTCAGAAATAAACTTCCGTTATGTTAGCTGCTTCAAGAAGTTAATTTATGCCGTGCTGGAATCTGACGGGTGGAGAGCTGACAGAACTAACCCTCACATTGTACTTTTGAAGTGAGAATTTTGTATGCTTTCTTTATCATCTAAATTCTTAAGCTGGAATAAGTTGCGTTTAGAAACAAGTTGCACAAGATAAACTTATTTTGAAGTCACCTATTTTCCCATTAAATTATTAGAAGTACAGATGTTGGAAATAAACTCGTAGACGTTTACTTTATCTGGAAATGTGCATCATTGTACCACAATTTTTGTATTGTATATTATTTTTTTTTAAAAAAAATTGTTATGCTGCTGACAAGATTAACTTTTAAGGTTTGCAGCACATTTCATCAGTGTCATTGCTTCCTTCCTATAAAATGTTTTACTCATTACAGACTGCCACATTTTTCTCTTTTATGCGCCACAACTTTTAACTTTGGTTAAATATAACTGAAGAATATATGAATATCTTATTCTAATCAAGGATTTCTCATTGAGAATTAATTATGTATGTCTCCTTTTAAGTATTTTAAAAAAGACTTGTTTATGTATTGGGGTAAAAACAAAGCAAATAAGTGTATTGCAAATGTAAGTTTTATATGACGAGCGAGTAATTTGAGATTTTTATTTGCATGAAGTCGTTAATTCCCCATTCTGTGGAACTAACGGTGTTGCAGTGAGGATATTAAATACCGTGTTTTAATTTGTTTATTTATATTTTAAATATTTTATTATTAGAGCAGTATCTTTGTATATAAATGTATTATAATAGGTACTCATTGAATTCAGACTGTATCAACTTGGTTTTCTCCATTATATGGTGAAAGTAAATTATTATTATTTAAGTGATGATTCTTTAGCGTGAATAAATAAAAGAGTCATCTTATACACACTTTTATAGAGTTTTATAATTATCAAGTATTACAAATAATAATTACACTTAAAATGTATTAATCTGAGATGAAGCTACTGAATGGTGATGCTTGTGTAGTAATGAAGTATTTTTCAACAAGTTTTGAATGTTTATGAAGGTATTTATATTTGTAAAATATATTTTAATATAATTTAACTGTACATGTATTTTATGTATGATCTGTATATATATAGTATACATTATTTGCTGTAGTGTTTACTGCGTTCATTGTAGGAGTGCCCTTTTCAGGTAAGGGAGCCACTGATTGTTGTTGTCAGTCTGTCGGCAGCTGAGGAGTTGCGGACAAAGACTCAGTGACTCATGTTATTTCTTTGTACAGCCTGATAGAGAACATCAGTCACCTTGATGGATCATTTTTATGGTTTCAGTTGCCATTGTGAGTGTAGTTACTGATGAGGCATTTTTAATTGATACTAGATTGCATAATGATGAACAGTTTTAATTGTAATTGTTATCTGTGATAGCTGATGACAGTATTCTGTCAATATGATTGTAAAACTGTAAAAAATGTGTGTATAAGGTGAGTGTTTTATTTATTCAGTGACTTATTTTGATTGTGTTTCTGCCTTTATTATTTTCATTTAATTTTAGTGAGCTTTTTCGAATTATGATTAAGCAAATGGACCTAATTATGAGAAACAATTCAATTTTAGTGTACTAGATAGTCGATTTTGAAATATTTAATTGTTTTAGACTTTGTGTCATTTTTTACAAAAAAACATTAATTGAATGAGTAAGGGGGACAAATTCATTAAAAATAGACTTTTGTTTTAACATTATCCATATTATTATTAAATATTTATATTACTTGCTTTCTGTTTTTTAGTTTTAAATCTTAAAACTTCCAGCAGCCAATGAAATGAATGTGTGAATGATTTATGAGATGTAAAAAAAAGCTCCTGTTAATGTAGGTTAAACTCAATTTTACATTACTTCAAAAAATCCCTTAAATCGTTTACTGTGGTAACTTGTGAATTATTCTGTAAGTACTCTCGTCACGTTGTCATACAAAATGAATATGATGCTTTGACCATCCATGACATTGGTTGAAGTTGACGTCTTTATCAGTTCGTGATTCACCGTCTTCCTTTCATTGATATATAGTTTGAACTACTCTAAGAACCATTAAAAACTATCCTTAAATATTACCTCGCTGTTCATTGGGTGTTACAGAACTTGTTTATTTTTTTGTTTTTATTTTAAATATTTGCACAGCATTTTTCCTTCCATCCTTTTCCTCCTCAGTTCAGTTAGGATGGTGTATCATAACTGATGTTAAGTAGACGTCGATGTACGACTTCTTGACCGATGCAAAAATTGGAACAGTGAGAATGAATAGTTCGCAATTTACAAGTCAAGGATTGATATATGTGGTGATCTCATAAGCTTGTTTCTCTTAGAAAAGTAGTTTATATAAGTCCAAATAAAAGCAGGAATATACTCTGATGATATAACCTCTGCTTCGAAAAGGTTGTGATTTCAAACATATATGAAGTGGTATCATCCTTATGACTGATTTTATTTTACCAGATTTAAGGTTTAAGGAATGTTTGTGGAAAGGTCTGGGCAAGATTTTAATTTTTACGTGTTTTTTTATTTTCTTTATGTTTGTTTTAACATAGACTCCTAACATCTTTATCTTTTTTTTAACAGAATAATATATATTATACCCACATTTGACAACTGGTTTATGAAGGTTTACGTAATAGTGAAATCAGGTTTATGTTTGCTCAGTATTGTATTTGGTATTAACTCTGTTTGTAGACACATGTAATGGGTGTGTGTGAAACATTTATCTGTCATTTTAATATATATGAATTCAATTGAATTTCTTGTAAATTGATTTATGATATAATTTACCAGGTACTGATACTCGGTTCTTCTCGACTGTGGGATGTGAAGTGTATCGAGGAAAAGATTATTATTGAAAGAGGGAATGTGAATTTATTCTCTTGGCATGGATCAGTTGGTAGCATTGGAATGTTTTCACTTTTTCGTCAGGTGTGTTGCCTGTATTATGGGATCGTACTGAGCAGTGTGGAAGTTGGAAATCATAGGTGGAATTTCCGTGGTTTTATCTCAAGAATGTGGCATTTCTTAATCTATATTAATATACGGATAATGAAGGGCTTTCATAACATCGTCTGTTCCTACAGTCAAAAGTGTCGATGTGGATTCTAATAAAAACTGATTTTGTTTTGAATAATCTTTTGTTTACACTTAGTTTTTAATTTATTATAGTCAAAATCAAGATTATAAAAGCTGTTTAGCATGAAACAAAAGTAACATACTGTTTATCAGAATTGCCATGTTGCTTTGTATGAGAAATCAAGGTGAAATTTTACTATAATTTGGTATAAAAATTGTCATAATAATAAGCAGTTGGTTGTTTGAATATTTCAGCATGGACACAAACTGTACAGTGATCACTCATATTAATAATAAACATTTGCTGACAGGCAGAAGATCACAAAACAAACATTTGAAAGTGTACCGGTTCAAAGGATTTTATAAGTAATTTTTCTTATATATACTGTGAGCCCTAATGTGGTTACATGGCAGGTTACAAGCTTTTTTCTGTATTTGAAATTGACAGATGAATGTGAGCATTACATGAAAGATGTTACAGTCCAGTGTCTCTTTCAGAAATAAACTAATCCAAATGTTTCACATTGTAGCCTCATCATTATCACAGGAAATGCATTGTGAATGTTATCTGTAAGTATCTAGAAGATGAATAACAAAAAATAAACAACAAATTACATACATAAATACATTACAATCAAAATTGTTGTGTTAAGGGTCATTTTTGGCTTCAATTTTAATCATAATTTTCAAAATAGGGCTAAAATGTGTCCATGGGGACTATCACAGTGTTAGGTTATGTACAGATATTGCAACTTTTCTGTAAGATACTTTTTGGTATATTTAAGAATTAATTACTTTAATTCCAAATTCAGTGTTTGCCTTGTTTTTGGAATTAATTATATTAATTCCAAATTCAGTGTTTGCCTTGTTTTTGGATAATGAATTTTCTTGTTTAAAAGGTGCCTGCATAAAAACCTTTACCAATGAGTGTCTTCCAACTTCGAGAAATGTTCTTCATTTTAAGGCTGACACATTCTTGTTTAGTCTTCTGATATTATTATTACTTTGGGTTGATTCAAGGGCTTTGTTCTTACATGAAACTAAGTTAACATCCTTTGGTCAACCCAAAACATTCTTAATTTACATCATGGTCTTGTGGATTCTGACATACGTAATCTTATAGAGGTTATCAACATTTAAAAGGAACCTTTTGCCTCCATTTTCACTTTAAATTGAATAAAGGTGGAAGCAGGTTTTCATCTGAAATGTTGGTAACCACCTGCCAGACTGTATGGTGTGACAACCAAGAAGACTGTATTTTGGATTCTGCCTGCTGTCAAAACAATCTAGGTATGTGTATAAATTTCCTGTTCGCCACTGTGAAGGTTAAGGCAGTGAAGAATTATTGCAGATTCCATTGCTACATTGGCCATGCTCCCTATAGGATATTTCACATTCAAGAACAAATCTTGATATCTTTATGATAGTAAGTGGCTAAATTCGTGCCTCCGCTGTTAATTAGCTTAATTTACAGTGCATCGTCATGCAGGACAGTATTTAACATAGAAATTCCCGAGATGTTTGCACACCAATGACGTAATACGTAGCAATAAAAGAACATATGCATCAGTTTGTAATAGATATCCTTCCTGTATGTATGCTGAGTATGTTTAATAAAAATTCAACTTTATTTTAGTTATTATGTCACAGTGTAAGATCTTTCTGTGTTGAATATATTTTGTGCGTGCATGTGCTTATGTTTGTACATGTACTCACTGGAATGACCGTGCAAATTAGGTTATGTTATCACATTTCAGTTTTATGAGTGTAAATTTTCTTTGAAATAAAATGTGTATTCTTAATGTTTGCAGAGGTTAGGTATGACAATTTGATCTGATGGATATTATTGTATTGTGGTAGACAATATTGATAAAGGATTTCTTGTTTAATTTGTGTATCACATGATTAATATTTGCTGATTCTTCTGTACTTGAACTACAATTATTTTATAAGAGGAACTTAAACTGATGATGCAAATTTTATGTCTGGTCTCCCTGTGGAGGATTTATCACTGAACCCACAAAAAATTGTAACAAAATGGTTTTATTATTTGAAGCCATTGTGTTTTAAATTTTTCAGACCGTATTTTTAAGGTCTGGATAGGTTATGTTGGTATGGAAATTTATTTTAATATCCATGGCTTGAGTGGGATTCGAACCCACGGTCCAAGCGCCCACTGCGGACCCCGTATAGCTCTGGAATATTATTAACTGACGTTTTGACACATTATATTTGAAGCTTTGTGTAATGAATGCATTGTGTTTGGTGACATTTTGAGAACCACTCGAATGAATGAACACTGCAAGAATTAAAAGTGAACGAAAAGTGGTGGCACCTAGTGTTGCATGCAGGTTTCAAACCTGATATTTAGTACTAAGGTAAAACCATATTTAACAAAATTATAATATCTGCATAGGCACTGATAATTATTTTGCTTGTCACAGTAAACGAATCAAACCTAACCTACATTGAAAATAATTGTTATTGTTTTGTCCCGTAAGAGTGCGGTGGCTGATGTTTTCAGTAGTCTGGTACAGACAAAATAGGAATGTTTGTTTGAAGCAGACACGCGAGAAGTGGTGGCACCTAGTGTTCACGGCTGTAATCTCTAGACTTGCAAGGAATGCTATTTTTCCTCCTTCACCCCGCAAGTATCAAGGTTACAGTAAATGCGCTAAGCCAAGAGAGGGGAGTTAGGTAGTAGTCGGAGTCTTGCAATTGGAATGTGACATTCTTCATCCCCACCCAGTTTTTAACCATTGCCCACAAATTTTTAATGGAATTTAGTTCTGGGTGGTAGGGTGGCAAACAAAGTGCCAAAAGGCTGTCAGTTGAGAACTTCTGAAATTTGGGTTTGTTTATTTTTATCAACAAACAGCTCTACTTTCGTTGAATCTGCCGGGTGGCCGTATCCCAGGGGTATGCAACCAAATCTTTCATTCGTCCCTCTTCCTGCTAAATGATGGTGGTTTGTCATCCTGAACGTTATTATATGACGTGTTGTCTAGCACAATAACAGAGATAACAACGTTGAAACTTTTAGTTATACCGATAGTGAACAGCAAAACGCCGAGTAGGGCAATGTTTTAGTTTGCTTATGGCAGATGCCGCAACGATCCAAACAGCTACAAACCAACAGAAGCTGACACCCCTCTAGCTCGTGCTTTGGACTTGTCCGTCTCATGTGACCGAAATCAGTTCTTTGCATAAGTGACACGTGTTCTCTCGTGCGGCTTCTACCGTGACATCGTGCTGTTTTTATTAAAAATGGAATTTGGCCATTTTGGTAGTTTTTAATGATTTAACTGTTTAGAAATGTCTGAAATACGTAGCGTGGAAACTGAAGTGCAAATTCACGAGATGCAGTTTCTTCCCATGTGAGCGATGAAGGGCCATGAATGTAAGTAATTTTTCGTTATTAAATGGCTTGCTAATTATGTCTGTAAATAATTTAATTTATTTCAGCGTAACATATTCTTGTCTAAAGATAAACCTGTGACAGGAACACAAGAATTGTGCAAAAATTCAAACATCTGTCATATACTGGCCAGTTACTTTAAATAATTCATAATTATGGACCACATAAAGTGTAGGGTGCATAATGATTAACCGGAGATTATTGGTCACGTTATATTATTATGATACATGTTTTACCCCCCCAAACTATGTCAAATTTGCATTTTGGTTTATGAAAGACACTGGAAGGTGATGATTTTTTATGAATCTTATACATAAATCTGTATTGCGTGCTCATACTGCTTCAATTAACATAATGTTTGTTATGTAACATTTATCTCAGTCCAGTGTATTTATTGTACATGATTATAATTATTAGTCTTTTGTGTTATACAACCCTGCACAGAAAACAAGCCTCCAGTGATGAACAGTTACCTTTGTGTTCGTAATATATATCAAAGTACGAAAGAATTTATGTGGTTTACAGAGTCATAACCTCAGTCATAATAGTATGCCCATAAATTAGAAATCTAATAGACTGACTATTGCAGGATGTAAATTTTATAACAGATCAGTAATAATTTGCTCTTTAAAAGGAAGCTTAAGCAGATTCTCATTGGTAGATGTTATTACTCAGCTAAGAACTTTATCGATGATGATTTTTATGATACTGGTTGCTCATCTGTACTTATAGTCATACATTTTTCGATTCCTAACCTCAATCTGTTCGCGTAGTTATATTTGGTGTAATTTTCTTAGTATGAATTATTTTCATGCTTCTGTTTGATATGAGCTTGTATGACTGGAACGTCATATATCACCGTAAGGTGACAAAGGATGAATAACAACAACAACAATAATGAGGTCTCTTGAACATGTGAACCACTTACCAATTTTGTTAATTTATTTTTTTAGAGAAGTTACAACAATTTTTTTTAAGGTAGGAATTTAATTTTCTGGCTGCTATGACAACATCAGAACGCACAATGCGTAGTTTCTTAAGTTGTTTTAAATTTTGATATATAAAACTGTTAAGGTTAATTTTCGTCTTGCGGTGTTAAAACTGTTTATGTAACGCATTGAACTTATTAAATTTATAATGTCATTGGTTGGAATATATATGATGTAGGTCGACTTACGATAACTTCGGAGTTTGGCCTGAATTATTTAATATTTGTGTCGAGATACATGCAGAAACAATTTTTGAGTCGTCGAGTGTACCTTAATGAAATTCTACTCTAGCATCAGGCTGGAAGGGTATGAACCATTTCAGAACTGAACATGGAAACCCCATTCCATCCCTTGAAGTTCGCTAGTGTATAGGAGGAAACAGATTCGCGAGTAGTTAGCTTTTGTTTGAATACAATTTGCCTACTACTATAAAATTCTCGTAAGAGGCCAAATGTGACCTTAGAATGAACCTAGAATTGAACGCCAAGTAAAGTTTACTAAATAATGAAGGCAAATACGGTAAGGAATTTACAAGACTTCGAGCTCGTTGTTTCTACCAGTGCCATCTGTCCGTGGGAAAGAGAATCCTTCTAGAGATGCTGAGAGTTGTAAAAAATTTATAATGTTAAAATCACAGAAGTCAAGTACAATCTTTTTTTTTTTTATTTTTTCGTTCTGTAGTAAGATCAGATAATGTACCATTATCAGCAACCCTGTTTCACCCCATCACTGAACGCAAGGAAGTCAATTTAACCGTCATATTATCCACCCCCCATCATACATGGAAACACACTTCAGAGAGTTGAACTCTTATTTAATTTGACGTGGGACAGACGATGGCAGATGCAACGACCCAGCGCGTATCTTTTCTCGTTCTGTGGCTTATGCACAGTCCGTGTCAGAGTTGAAGGGAGTCTGATGGGCGAATGTCCCTTCAGATATGACTTTGCATTTTTTTTTTTAAGAACTTTCGCTCTAGCTGCAAGGCTAGATAAATCGCGATGCCTTGCAAAGAGTTTGTTATATGGGCCACGTTTAAAAATGATGCTCTGAATTGCGAGTGTATCTGTCTCAGACAACTCATATTTCATTTAAAACTACGTATTTTTGTATAAAAATACCTTAAAATGGGTATTTATCTCGGAAAATGATGTCACCTATGAAGATGGCTGTCTTCTTTAATGTTGCGCCGTGATACTCATCGCCCTGATGATGGAGGCAGTAAGCACTTCTGAAACACCTATAAACTTCTACCAGATTACATGGTGCAACATCTCAGAAGACAGTTATATTTATCATTACAGCCGTGAGAACCTGAAATCTTACTACTTTCACAATTCTTTAACGTTTTAAAGCCCAGTGGTAACTATATGTACCACATGCTTAGAAACTTCGTAACTCTGCCCAAGCAGCGTATTTATGGGTTTTGTACGATTCTTAGAATAGACAGCGATTATTTCGTTAAACAGCGTTAACCAGTTGATCTTTGTAATGGTGAAGTGTAGTGTTTTCTTCGCGGTTCGGACTGAGTTCTTACGTAATATTTATACGAGCTTCGGCTTCAAAGGGTTAACCAGTTGATCTTTCAAATGGTGAAGTGTAGTGTTTTCTTAGCGGTACGGACCAAGTTCTTAAATATTATTTGGACGAGCTTGGGCTTCAAAGGGTAAAGGCCATTGCTTGTGACTCATATTTTTTCATGAGTGCAAGAAGTTATAACCCACGGGCTCATTACCTATTCAAGAAGCATTTAATCTCCCTTTAAGGTTTCGTCATCAAAATATATAAAAAAATATTCGTCTGCTGAATTCTTGGGAGTATGTGAATAAAGAATCCACCACTACATTTTATCTTTTTAAGTTTACTGACGTGTTTGGTGACAATTTATCTTCGTTCCATCGCTAAAGTGATGGCTTAGGCAGTTTGGAGGAGCGGAGGTGTAGAGCAAGGGGAGAGATCCCGGA